AAAGAAACCGTTCTCTCTGTGCGTGTATTAGCTATAGTACACATAACACAAACTATAGAAAAATATGCGTGTTAGGTGTGAGACATCACCGTTAGAAGTAGATCTATAACACATGTGTGAATATTAACATGTCACACACTTAAAATGTGTGAATAATGAGTCACACATATTTAATGCATAATTTTTCAAACATCATACACTATTGTCTTAATTGTCGCATCAATTAAAATATCCCGTTTAAAACTTCACAATAAATATCTCTAGAATTAAAATCGAAATATTATTGTGTGCTGTAGAATATGTAATTTGGTGAAGGCATTATTATATATTCTTGCTGTTTAAAATCGCATTATATAACGTAATTACTTGTTTTAAACGGCAAGAAACGTGTAAAAAGTGCTTTCACCAAATTACATACATATGTGTATAATAGTAAAACACTTGAATTTGCAATGTAGTGCGATCTTTTTTACACATTTAAAGGTACCTTGAAAATCACCCACCTAAATAAGTTATACACCTCCAGCTGTGTGAAGAGTCACATACGCCAATAAAATCAAACACCCATTTGTGCATGAAAAAGTCACACACTTACAGACGTCTTGAAACGGCGGACACGCATCATATGCGATAAAGTGTGTGATATTCATCACTTTATCGCTTCTAACAGTGCTGTTTTCAGAAACTGCGCCATAATTAATGCAATCTTAAACAAGAAATATATGACAAACGTATAATATAAACTTCATATATGTTGATCTGGATATTTATTGTAGCATTTGTGTACACTACATAGTGGTTTTTTTATTTTAAAATCTACATTCATGATATATAAAAGGAATAATACACTGCATTCATTAAAATTAAAAATTAAAACAAATTTATATTAAAAATAATAATTCCCTTAAGACCAAAGAAATCATACTACAGCATTTGACGAGAAACGGTTTCCAAAAATGTAGTGAAATTTTCTTCAGGTTCCAAATCCAAGAGACGACAGGATACATTCCACAATTTGTCTGCATACTGACGATCATTTGCCTTCCGGTATGTGTTGGAAACGCCGCAGTTTCTACGTATAAAAAGTTAAAAAAGAACAATATGTGGAATTGAATTTTATACCTTGTATAAAAATAATTTCATGTGTTCTTACGAATAATAAAGTCCAGTCTGATTAGCAATTCCCTCATCAATTGAACAATATATTGTAGTTTGAGTACCTTGTATTACATTTTTACCAAATAAATGCGCACAGGTATTAAAGAAAAAAGGTGCAATACAAGATACCGTACTATCGCTATATCGTGTTATTTCGGTCGCAATCACACCAGGATGTAAAGAATATACGTTTATCCCATGAATATTTGCTTCTAAAAATCAAAATCTTTGTATAAAAAATTATCTCTTCTGTATTATAAAATAAAAAACATATATTTAATAAGAATTATCGATTAGTAACTGCTAAATATTAATTAGCAGGTATTAAATAAATGTGATGTATTCTAATCGGAAACGTTTCCTTTTTCGGTATACCTTTTAATCGACGAGCGAGTTCCTTGGTGAACAAAATATTCGCCAATTTAGTTTGTGTATATCGTAAAAACGGTGAATAAGATCTTTTCATATTAATATCGTCAAAATTTATGTTTGCAACTATAAAAGAATGTTTCTATTATATTTCTATTATATTTGTACTTTAAACTAGAACGACTGGAACGTTAAATATTCTACTTCATTTTTAAAGCGATCATAATATCGCTTTACATACGAGTATATAGAAACGATGCAAGGTTGACTATTCTGCAACTAGGAGAAGACGATTGCATTTTTGGTAGTAACAGAAGTGTCAAAAGAAAATGGCCGAGATAGTTCACTTGTAATGTTGCTTCAATTCCATCCTCCGTTATCTTGTACGGATATGCAGCCACACCGGCATTGTTTATGAGTATATGAATAGCTGCTTCGTTTGTCAGCAAGCTTTTAGCACAATCTCTCACGCTCTTCAAACTACATAGATCGAGCAAATATATCGCAAGCTCACCTACGTTATTTTCATATTCATCCTTTGTTATCCTAAAAGTAGCCATACAAACTAATCATCATTTTCTTCAACATAAAATACTTCAATTAAGATAAATAAAGTTTCGGAAAAACAAAAATGAATAAATTTAAACAATGTTAATTTAATTAATTTTTATGATACAAGTTTGATATATTTACCACGATGGCGGATTGTTCTTTATATCGTCAATTGCTTCATTTGTTTTTTCTATATTTCTACATGCTAGAATTACTCTAGCGCCTAAGTGCACACGTTATTTATTAAAATGTGTTTAATATGTTTTACAGATTTATAAAAAGTTTTATGAAATTGTAAATGAATTACAAAGATAACATAAAGAATCTAAAATTCTAGTAAAGAAATGTATATAATCTTTCTCTCATGAAATATAAATATGTTATATGGCCATTTGACAATGACGCACTGAGAAAAATACCCGATTAAATATAATCAAATAATCCAGTGACAAACGGATAAATCTGATTTAATTGTTTATTCGAAAAAAAAAGATCGGATTTCGATTAAATTTCATCGGTAACTGCATTTTATCGAATCAAGTTCATCGGATATACGAGGTGTGTCCCAAAAGTATCCGACCTCTGCATATATCTTTATCCTTGGGCATCCTATTGTGGAAAACAGGTATTCAGTATTTAAGGTGGACCTTTAGAAGTACCACCACCAAGCGGTACGACCCAACACTTTTTCAGTCGGCAACGGTACGCAGTTGTGTGAGCGTCGAAAATTGCGAGCGTCGCATTTCACAAAATTCGTTCCATAGTGCCTACGGAAGAACCAAAGAATTCTCGAGGTCAAATTGCAAAATTTACAACACAAATTCTCTGCTCGACTCGTTCAGTCACTGTAAAATGCGACGCTCGGAGTTTTCGACGCTCACATAACTGCGTACCGTTGCCGACTGAACAGCTGTTGGGTCATGCCGCTTGGTGGGGATACTCCTAAAGGTCCACCCTAAATACTGAATACCTGTTTTCCACAATAAGATGCCCAAGGATAAAGATATATGCAGAGGTCGGATACTTTTGGGACACACCTCGTATATATAATTTTATCGGAAAAGCTAATCGGACAAGTTAACCATCGGAAACATTTAATTGGTTTATCCGATGGAAATTTTTCTCAGTGTGATACTGTTATCTTCTGACTGGTGACAAATTTATATTTCATTAATAGGAAACAATATCTACTGAAATTACAAAGTTTAGGATAACTTAAAGCTACATCATTTCAGTAAACTTACCTCTCGCATATAAATCTCTGGCAGTCTCCTTGCCGATACCACTGCTTGCTCCCGTTATCACAACAGTTTTACCATCAAGACGTGCTTTGCTCGTACACATTTTATTAAAGAACCACATTTTAAGATGCTTCTTTACAGATCTCCTACGAATTTCCAATATGTCAAAAACTATTTTTATCGGAATTTATACACTACCGCTTTCAGTACACCAGATCTGACCAGTACAACGTGTCGACGTTATTTGTCGAACAGGTATACGCTCGCGTCATATAACATGGCATTTTTACTCATACTCATTTAAAAAACTAATTTCTGCTAATCGACGGAAATACATAATTAATTTTAATCTCTGGGTAAATATGCAGAAAAGGTAACACCTCACCGATTTCCTCGCCACTTAGATAGGTATGTTGTAGGGGAGAGTTTT